CTACTGACGTTCAAAAATGTCTGCTGCGAAAAAAGACTTATTGTTTCAGGTTTACAGCATTAAATTTCTTGTGCCTTTTTTTGGCCGGTTTTGATTTGGTGTCAACTTCTTTTTGGTGTTTCACTTGTGCAAGTGGAATTATAAGAGTCCACGCCCACAAATTCTGGGTGAAACCAAGAGGGAAAAAAAGGCAATGTTGCATCAAAACAAAGTGTCTGTCAGGTGTATCCGGCAGAGCACAAGGCCCAGCTGAATTACCTTCCCTCGGATGCTTTTCTCTCAAGCTGACAGTCAGACAGAGTGATGCAAGCTGCGTGAGCTGAAAGCACTCAGTCCAGAGACGGAGCCAATAGAATTGTAATGAGTAAACCCCTGGCATTTGTTAGGCAGATTCATCCAGGTGCTTGCAGGTTCTCAATCGTGCAAGAAAATCTCTGCAAGTCTGTTGAGGGGGGGGGGGGTCTCATAGGTGAATGTTGGCATGATGGCTAGAGGACAAGTCTGTGCCCACTACTTCTATTTTTATTTTCATTTTCTGCCCAGCTCTCATTCTAAATTCCAGGCAGCAGCACTTTAGTACGGTACATCAAAGATGGCCGTAGGTCCACCCAAGGGATGATTACACAACACTGCTCTCCTGTGACATTTACAACATCTTCTGTCATCTCAATCCCATTCCTGCTGAGTAAGGTTGAGAAGATGCTCCTTCACGGCAGCAACTCCTGATTAACTTGACAACGATGTAATCCTATTCCACCGACTGAAATAAACATGTTTATTCTACTAACTCTATTCCTGGGCTAGATCCTGGGGATGGATGTGGAATGAGTTTTCTGAATGGGTGCACAGCCAGGCAGAGCAGGGCAGGACATATCAAGGGGGCTTGATGCACAGAGGCAAGAAAGAAGGAGTGAATGAACAACCTCAGCCACGGGGGTAAACACTGCTGTGGCTGGACAGGAGCTCCAGGTCTTGGCTCTTTTCTAAGTGTGTGTGTGTGTGTGTGTGTGTGTCTACATTCGGTACATGCTTCTCTCACATGTTTGTTTGTGCCTATAGGAAACCATAGCTGTTCACAGTTGTCCTAAGGTCATGGAGGCTTTTTTCATAGCCTGCCTACAGTGATATTAAATTTGACCCTTGCTGTTCCAGCGCGGTGGTCTCATTGGAATCAATGAGGAGTTTGCATTTTGGACACACAGCTGTTGTTGGTCTTCATCAGAACTGGTGTTGGATAATCAAATATAACATAAATGCTGAAACACCTCTCCACACACATCTCTGACAACGGATTAGGCGTTTGTGTCCGACCATTTCTGTAACTTTCCGAAACTGGCAATCTGACATTAACATCCACTTCACACACAGCTGTGCGGAGGCGATAAAGGATTTGAACGTCTCTCTCCCAAGTTCTCTTTTCATTCCTTACACCACATTTCACGTGTACAACCATGTGCAACGCTATGAAGAGAGAGCAGCCTGCTTGTAAATGTTTGCCATTATCCCCATATTTGGACAGTACCGTATCTCTGTGATGGCCAGCTTTTCACTCAGCCTTCAAGCGAGACCATTCGGATCAACTATAAACACATACGAACCAGTTCTTCTCCAGCATAATGCAGCCCTCAGTCAATATGCCATGGCTTTGTCCACATCATCTGTTATGAGGCAACAGTATTTGTGACAATGATGTCGAGGTCTGGCAGCAGAGTCATCTAAATCTTCCGTCATCAGGAGCCTTTGTCACTGATGAAGGGCGATCACAATGCCCAGTTACTACAATCAAAAGTGATATGAATCTGTATTTTTTTTTATCTGAGATTATCTGTGTTTTTGTGAGCGCATGTGAACATCTACTGTCCCTGCACATGAATGTGTAATGTCTAACAGAAGCCACAGAGTTTCACCATGAGAGCCCAACACTGTCCAACATGATGATGTAACTACCCTCAACACTCTTGTGTTACATCTCTAGCAGGTAAAAATAGTTGTGTCAAATCACTGACACACATATACATCATCCTCTTCTCTTGCAAGGGCTATTCAGTTTTACAAACACAAAGAAAACCTGCTTCCACAAGGGAGGAACGCTCCTTAGACAGATTATGTTGTAGAATTTGAACTAAAAGCAGCGATTATAAATTTTCACACCATTACAAACCCTGATTAAACCTCGCTCCAAAGTCTTTGCCAGCTTAAAGTATCACCAGCACAGAGTTCTGCAGAAATTTGTGCAGTTTTTTGCTCGTCTTGCACAGAGACTGAATTTGCCAAACACATAAAACTTAGTAAATAAAAATGTCTCAAAGAGCTTATTGTCTTCTCATGTGTTATAAATTATTAAATAGCTGACCTATAATCTCTTTTATAGGGGTCGGTGGAGCATTGGAACAGAAAACAGTGACACTGCAGAGTTGGGATTTCTCTCAAACGTCACATCTGTCTCATATTAAAAAGAGATATGATGCTGCGGCGAGCTTTGTCCATCCACATGGACACCTTTGCTTTTACCACAGAGAAATAAACAACAAAAACTCTTCTAATTACATCACAGGAATTTTTTAGCTAACCGTGGCAAACTTAGAAATGGAGATCAGTGTCCTCCGTCCAGCTGGAACTTTGTCTCCGGTCAGGAAGTATCATCTTAGAGGGAAGAGGATAAAAAGGCAGAGATGAAGGGATGATTCTTGACATTCTTTTTTCATGCTTTACTTTTTCGATTGTCCACAGAGTCACTGATTAAAATCCTTTACTTATGTAAAAGTGCTAATACAATAAAATAATAACACTCCATTACAAGTAAGATCTTCATTCAAAATCCTACTTAAGTTAAAGTACATATATATTAGTAGCAAAATGTATTTGACGTATTAAAAGTAATTGTGCTCACTCTGCAGAAAAGTGTCCTCTGTGAGCGACATATTATCAAAATCTACATTATTAAGACTGTTAACGCTCAAGCATCACCGTGTGAGCACTATGACACCGTAGCTGGTGGAGATGGAGCTCCTGTCCTGTCAGGCGATGTGGCCCAGTTGCTCCTAACCTCGGGGTCAGGCCCCCTCACATAGGGGCGCGAGCTAAATCCGGAAGGTCGTGAGATGATTAATGGGGAAAGAAGGATATATCTTCTTATCTGAAATGTGACAGAGGGCCCTGACTAGACAGTGCATTTTTGTAAGGTGCCAGTGTAGTTTACTGTATAAGCTTGTAACTGTATGTTTTTTTTTTTTTTTTTTTTTTTAAATGTAAAATCTAAATCTGACAAGCAACAATAGCTGTCAAAGAAAAGGACAGGACAGAAGAGTGAATAATATAATATTTCCCTCTGAAGTTAAGTATAAAGTAGCAGAAAAGGCAAAGGACTATCATCACTGTCTTAAAGGAGAAAGTATGTCAAAGTATTGTATTTAAGCCACGCTGCAGTACAGGGCTGCGAAGGATGTTTTGGCTGCGCTTGCAAAATCTGACCTTGTGTGTTTAGAGGTGCAGCTTTTTTTTTTTTTGAAGTTTTTTTTGAAGTTTTTTTTTTTTTCCACTAATTCTGGCAAACGTATTAGTTATTGCAGCTTCATTGGATAGGGACGTGACTCATAATTCATCTCTCTCAGTGACACAAGTCGGTGAATCACGACCGACTGCACCGAGTTGCCCTACAGATGCTTGAACTGCTTGAAAAGTCTCAAATTGTATCGACGCTGCGTTTCACACTCTGCATTTGCATTTATGCAGCAGTGACAAAAAGAAACAAAAAAATGTCCTGCTTTCAGAGATTGTGTTCTACCTGTAAGAGGGTATAAGTGCATTACACTATCTCTGGCGTCCTACAGTAACAGTTGTGAGAGGTGATAACTCTGTAAGCTCTGAATGCGAGTCTATGTGAAAGGGTTAGATGACATTGATGAAGTGGTAGCATAAGTTTGAAATTTCATGGTTATAGAGAGGATAAAGTATGTTTCGACCTGACAATTTTATTTAAAAAGAGGAGATACTGGATAAAAATCGAGAAAGTGAGGAAGAGATGGATAAAGCTGGATAACGGATAAAGTATTCAGCTCTGGAACAAAGTGTGCATCTGCAGGCAGCTTCGCTTTGAAAGATGTATCTCAAGAGATGCATGAATGAAACTATACGAGGGGATATGCTGGAGGGGTTGGCAGTGTTATAGCTGCTGCTGTGCTCACTGCAAATCATTGAAGACATATTTCACGCTTTGAAACATGTGGCAATTTCTTTACACCTGTAGGTCAGCTGTCAGCATCATAAAGAAGCTACAACATCAGAGCGAGAAAGGTGCAATTTGCGAGACATTTCTTGATATGTCGAGCAGCTGTTGCTTGGGAGGTCCACAAGTTAAATATTTACTTGATGAGTTAGCCTGATGAGAGGAAAATGACTGCTGTGATCAAAGTTTTCCAACCCCAGCGTATCAACAGTTCACTAGAATCAGCAAAACATATCAGGAGAAGGGGTCCCTGGAAAAAAAATAAAAAATAAAAAATGTTTGCAGCTTCACATGTGTCTATTTTGGGTCCTCAATATGGGAAAATATGAGAAGCATGCTGCAGAGCAACAATAACGCTCTGCATGCAGATCTTCTAGCTGTTTAATCTCTGCTATTAAATGTAGGCACACGCAAATATTTGGCTGGTAAACACAACCCCCCCCCCACACACACACACACACACACACCCACACACACACACATACACAAGCCCACTTCTAAGAATCTCAAAGGAGGAACAGGAGAGACAGGTTCGGGTCAAGCGGACACTGGTGTTTGCATAAAATGAGCTGTATAATGGCTGTGAGCGATGAATAACCTGATCTAGGGTAGGAATGTAGGAGTGCCACGGTCTCACACCAATCACACCTGCATGGGCAAACAGCACAGAAAAAAAAACCGTCTTGAAAATCCTTTGAGGGAGACAGCTAGTCCCACATGTATGCATGTGACACCCCCTCCACGTCCTCCTCCTTTTTCCCTCCCTCCAACATACCTCTCATTGGATTCTGGATCCACAAGATGCCCCCGATAAGGTGAGGAGATTGGCCGAGCATCCCGTGTCACCGGCTTGTCCCTTGTCACTTTTCCTCGCCTCTAATGTCCGGAGCGAGCACCTTAACTAACTGTTTAGCTGCCAATCACGGGGAGGAGCGGGTGACTTCTTCCCCGGTCCACATGTCACTCCACCTGCTGCCAGATGAGCAATCTCAAACCAGACTGGTCTTGTGGAACAGGATGAGCGCACACTCGGCGCTCTGTTGCATCACAACACAGAACAGAATCCAGAAGACAATAACAATTTCTCTGAGGATTAGTCCCTGATATGAATCTCAGCGCTGCGCGGCTCCTGTATTCCCCCCCCAGCGACCCACCCACCCAGAGGACACACAGTACCCGGCACACCGGAGATGGTTATGCAAAGAGAAAAAAAAGAAGAACTGGACGCTCCTCGGTCGCAGACCTGTTAACCAGTGCTGTCTCCAATCGCAGAGCTCACGACCAGGCGCGCGCACACAGTAACAACATAGACACAGAAAGAGGCTGCGCGTTAACACGAGTCTTTATGGTTTGTGACCATGAACCAGCGCAGTGAATACCAGCGGTTTATCATTTCACATGTACAGTGGGGTTAAGAACGAGGAGATGACCAGGACAGTGTACGTAATGCAGAGAGGCTGCAACATCACCCAGTCACAGGCTTGCACAGTTGACCCGACTGTGTCTGGGTTGAGTCAGTTCTCACCACACAGCTCACAGCTCCAGTCATCATGGTAACTGAAACTAGTGGCTATCTTTTATCTTTCTGCTAAAGCGAAAACAAAACAACACGGAAACGCCACCGTGGACAGCGCAGGGTGACGCGCCTTACCTTCAACAGCCATTGTGCTGCTCCACAGATTTGGGCATCACTCGCAAGGGAGCAGGCGAAATGTAAAACTCAACGCTCTCTCATTGTACCTTGTTTGGCGTGTTATCATCACTTTGCTGCGGGCAAGCCGGAGCGCACAGCTGCTGCCGCGCCTCAAAGGATCCTGGGAAGTGTAGGCTCGCCGCCTTATTGGGGCTACGAGGGAGTTTCATCAGTTTTGCAGAGAAGGCAGTTTGGAGGAAGACCCCCTCACCCCCCAATCTCCTCCACACTCTCCCTGTTTGTGCGTGGTGCATTTACGTGCTGAAATCACTATAATAAAGCCCACAAATATTCTCATAGTTAGGCTAATGCAGGGCATTAGCACATTCCATTAGGCTACAGTTAAACTAAAAAATGCGGTAGATTAAATACATAGCCTGCAGCAACAAGTAGGATGCAAAGGTACACTGTAAATTAATTAAAAGGCAATGAAACAAAATCACACACAGATACGCACACCCACAGTTAATAACCATGAGCCTGAGAGAATAGAAAAGTTTTCAGTTCACTTTTGCACGTGAACACAGTTGTGATAGATCTGGTCAACTAGTTTCTTTCCTTTAAGTGGTCCAAGGTAAACAAAAGCACCCTCATTAGGTTATATTTAGTTATATTTGTTTCGGGTTGTCCATCCATCCCATTCTTGAGAACACGATATCTCAGTAACAGCTTGAGAGAACTTATTCAAATTTAGCAGAAAAATTCACTTGGACTCAAGGATGAATTGATTAGATTTTGGTGGTCAAAGGTTAAGGTCACGATGACCTCATAAAACATGGTCTTGGCCTTGAGAACACAATATCTCTGGAAATCTTAAAGGGAATCCCTTCACATTTGGCACAAATTTCCCCTGGGACTCAAGGATGAACTGATTAGATTTTGGTGGTCAAAGGTCAAAGTCAGTGTGACCGCTCAAAACACTTTTTAGCCATAACTGAAGACTTCACACAGCAATTATGACAAAATTTCACACAAACGGTTCATATTTTATGTGAGTCTGGATAAATAGGGATATAACCTGAAACTAGTCTGAGTGGCGAAGGCATACAACCGCAAGCCTTTAAGTTAGGCTAGGCTTACTGTCTCACGGCTCCAGCTTCCTCCTCATAACTAATGCTTTGCAAGAAAACAAATAAGTGTATTTCCCAGAAAACTCAGTGTACTTAAAATGCATACAGGAACCAGGAACTACTTGCAGACAGTGGTGTTCACCAGGAACATAAAACAGGTCATCAGGCAGTTTGCTCAGTGGAACAGGTCCAAACTAACTCTAAGCATTTTCACCAGATCAGGATCATAATCTGGGCGCAGTTACAAAACCACCATCAGGTGACCTCAGGAAAACTGACTAGATAATAGCTAGAGGTAATCTACCAATAATCCTATAAATCAGTGTCTATACCATGTACACAGCATATAGGCAGTGAGTTTAAGGTTTTGTTTATTCTTCTATCCTGTTTTGCTGGGGCCGAGCACAATGAGGCTACCGCTTTCTAGTATTATGTAACATAATCATCGCTTTGTGCGTCTGAATTATCCTCTACATCCATAGATTCAGCTTCGTTGATGTTCTTTTCGCACTCAGCTGGCAAAGGCAGTAAAACAGTAGCTTATTTTTACAGTGACGGTGTCTAAGTGTGCACACCGTAATTATCTATGAAGTGACAGCTACAGTAAATCCTTGTAAATCCTCTTCGGTCCACAAATTAAATAGAACAATTTCAACATGACACACCCTGCTGTCTGAAGAAAGGAGAAGAACAGCAGATTGTGCAGTGTGTTATTACTTATTCAACGTGTTAATGGAGCGTGCAACATTTCTTCTTTATTGTGTGATATCTGTCTTTGAATAATGTTGGACACTGAGGGTAGAGACAGTATTAGACATAAATAAAATCCACCAACTGAGGTCATGTAGTCATTAAAGTGAGTAAGTTCAAATGAAAGTGTAAGGCTGTGGTATCTCCACAGTGAGACCAGTGTTACAGGTATTGCAAGTTGGAAGCAGATAAACAAAACCAAGTGTTACGTTCAACCCGTTGTCTGTCCATCTGTTACAGTCTGCCTCACTCGTGTGTTGTCACTAATATTTATGTAATAGTACGAGGAAGTCTGTCTGTCTTTTTCAGCCTATTTTTTCTGTATGGAGCGAACCGTAACACACACCAGCTCACACACAGGTGCGGCTGTCGGTATGTTGGAGTGTTTTTCTGACTTCTTCCTGAATTCCTCTTTTGTTTTAAAGTATGTTCAGCATGTCTGAGTTCCCCGTGTAAGTTACAGTTAATGTTAGTATGTAAGCTGGTGCATGCGTGGTTGAGCTTCGTCTTCCTGCCTGTCATAATGGATGAAGAAGGAAATTGGGGTGACTCGTGAGTTCTTAGATTGGTATGCAAAAAAATAATAATTCAAAACAAAGGACAGAAACTGAAAAGAAATTGCAACAAAAACATTTCTTGTGAAAAAGTGTAATCATAGCGCCTACTGTGTCGAGGAAGGCAGTGAAACATACTCACATCTCTGCAATTAATGATCTTCTTTGGCTATTTTAAAACCATATTGAGCAATTTGTCCAGCACAACAATGTGGAACTCCAGGAAACTGGCATGAACATAATTATCGAATGCCAACATGGAGGGCTCATTCAGGAAAGACTTAAGACAAGCCTGACAAATAAATGACGACTATAATAATGGAGTCCAAGACGATAGCTACATTTAGTGCAACGATGGAAAGGAGAAAACTTTTTACTTTCTTCAGGCAATGACCTCTGTGACCTCAGATTGTCACACTGACAGCTCCCTACACTAAAATCAAAGCATTACTCTTACAATTTGACATATTCATCAGAATAGTTATAATCAAATCTTTTTTTTTTTAAGAGTTTTTATTGGCAGCCTTCATGGCAAAAACTGAATAAGTTAGGGTTAGAGTTATGGCCGTGACACAGTTAGTTTAGCTTGTCATAAAGAATGGACGCAGTGGGAAATTCCTAGTCTGGCTCTGTTCAAAGGAAATAAGTCAGCATACCATCACCTCTGAAGCTGACTATTAACACTCAGGCATGGAACCATGCCAAGAAATACTTACTACAGATATTCAACACCTGCAAATAACTCCCCATGAAATTAAACCTTTGTTTTGGTTTCCCCATGCCTCCAGTCTTATTCCAAAGACAAACTAATCTTGTCCTGAAGCCAGCTTTCTATTTAATGGACAGGTATGAGGGTGGTATTAATCTTCTCATTTAACCCATGGAAAAAAAAAAAAAAAAAAAGCAGTATTTCCCAAAATGTCACACTATTGCGTTAATGCCTGGAGAATGCCGGGTGATGCCTCTCAGAAATACCAGTAGTAATTATAGTTTGTGTTTCCTGGTTGAAACCAAGAAGCCTGAAGGTACTTTAACTTCATGTATACAAAATAAAAAACAAATGCACAATGACGATGTTTTGATTTTTGATTTTTATTCAACATTTCTTATACATATCAAATATGTAAAAGTGAATAATGTGCACAAATGTAAAGATAAAATACACATGTGGGGGTATTTTATTCTCTAAGTTGTTCTTTTAAAAGACACAAAATAAATCATGAAAGCAAGAATAAGGTCAGCTGATGTAGGCTACAACAACAGAATGCACTCTGGTACTCTGTGGTTGCTGAAATGTGTGGTTTAAATAAGTCCTCTCAACCTATACAGACTGCGATTTCTGTGTTTATCAGTATCTAAGTATACGCACAATAACTGGGTCACAGGAAGATAAGTGAAAAATACTTCTGGAAAATTACCCTGTAGTAACTTTTTTAGATGTAAGTGTTTTAGAATTCTGGGAAAGAGGGATATTCAAAGTTCAAAGCCCACAGAACGTTTTGCTAACACACAATAAATCAACAAGAGATGATAGACATTTAATTTTACTTTATTTAATGATTTATATGTCTGTCACAGTGGAAATGTTAATAACAGTTAATTACAGTTTACTGACCTGATTAGGACATGAGATAATGAAATATTACTCCACTAAATACACTAAAATTACAATTCACAAACAGAAGTAGTAAGAAAAAAAATGTTATATTAGAAATGATTCATTATGTGTTTGGTGGTACAATAACTTCATTCTTTCACATTAATGGCCAAATGTTGGCGACTAACTCCTAACTCCTGTTCTCCTCCTCAGTATCCAGCAGTGCTGTTTACAGCTGGATCTACGACACCCCAGTGTGCTCCGATGGAGGTGATGGCTCCATGGACCCGGCCGCTGATGAAGCGCAGCTCAGCTTCACTGTGGGTGGGGTACATGTTGAAGGAGCGGCCCGAAGGCTGGCCTGCACGCAGCGTGCGACCCCTGTTAGAGGTGAACACCACTGACTGCAGGTAGTGAGCATATTTTCCAGAAATCTGGATGATGGCCTCGCCTTCAAACAGCTCCATTTCTTGGGGCTGGCCGTATTGGTAGCCAACAATGGGAGACCACAAGAAGCCGTAGCGGAACTGGAAGCTGAAGAAGGAAAAATAGACAAATGTATCACAATGGAGAAGTAATGTATCCATACTACTTTAATTCATATGGCCCTTGTTAACAAAAAAAAAACGCAGGTAAACTTTACAGCATATCAGCATATCATCGACATACACATATTGTTGATTTTGGCCTCTTAATGAGATTTATTGATGATAAGGAAATATAGAATAACACCGGCCTTGTCCTTTCGCATATCATTTGCCCTACAACAAAAAATACTATACAAGACTGAATCATTACTTTATTTGTTATCATTATCCAGAAACTACAACACCAAATTAAAAATATTGAATATTCACCCATAGATGTAGTTGTTGTTGGCCTCCCACACTCGGACAGCCGTGATACGGCCCTCTCCAGTCAGACTGTAAGAGGTGCCACTCCCTGACCCCACGGCTGGGGAGAAGGAGTAGTACTGAGGTTGGACTGCAAAAACAAAGAGATGCAAACATTAACTGACGGAAAATTGTCTTTTATTTTAATTTATTTGATCTTATGTTTAATTTTGTTTGTCTGGTACAAATATGTATAAATCAAATTTAATTACAGTAAATTATTATGTGTAGTGTTTGCTCAGTAAAGTGTTTTCAAACATATCTGATTATCTGCAAAAGATGTGCATTAAACTGAACTGTTAAACAAGCATAAGCTATTTTTTATGAGCATATTACATGTCAACAGACTATTAAACTGTGATTAATGTGATAAATGAAACTTACCATCAGCTAACACACAAGCTGTGAGCAGAGTGAAGAGGACAACGTGGTACATTCTGTCAAACAAATTGATAATGGGGCAGAGTTATTGAACCAGGAATTATTTTTACCCAGCAATTATTGAGTTTATATTGAACACAGGGAGGATCTGGATTTTTACCTGTTTAATTTATTCCTTGCAAGATGATCAAGAGATACCTGTAGAGAATTAAATAAAAAAATGAGAATTTAATGTCACGTTCAGTATTTGTAACATAACATTGTAACCTTTTTTTTCATATTTTAAATTTTTTTCAGATAACAATTTGACAATCGACAAATGATCTATTAATTGATATCAATAAACAGCAGAAGATCAAAATAAACACAGACTTACAGATCAATTTTCCAAGTGTGCTGTAATGTAGTCAGGGCTTCAACATCAGTGTGTGCAGCTTCACCTCCTCTCAGAGTTTTGTGTCTACCTGTGCAGAAGCTCTTGTTTTTATAGCATCTTGATTCATTAATGAGGATATGTTTAATTGTCTTTACCATAAACAGATACAGATTTCCTGGTTGACATGAATTCAAAGAAATACGTGAATAAACACGATGCCTTCCTGTTATTTCACAGTAAACGTCACAGTGTGTTTGAATGATGTGGAAAATGTGGTAAGATCAGTTGATCATTATGAGAGAGGGAATGTGAGCCTCTGCCAACTGAAGCATTGTTCTATTCTTGTTCTATTAATAAATTCCTAATTGAATTATAGGATCAAAAACCAAAAGCCTTTTACTAAACAGGTATAGTTACACTAAATGATTCATGGCAATGACTGGCTGTGTGTACAGTTTTCATCTTCAGTGACTTTGTTTCTCAACATGTCGTTCCCTGTAATACACCATGCTCAAAGGCATATTGCCTTAAACATGTTGACTTTTTTTATAGTTTGTTTTTAATTATCCAATATATATTTTAGAATTATGGTGCACAATAATATTGTTCTTGGGTAAAAAGACAGAACTGGGTTACAGGAGAATATAACAAGGTTAAGGAAAATTACCCTGTAGGAATTTTTTTAGATGTAAGTTTTATTAACTGCGTAATACATACAAGTGTTTTTCTCATGAATAAAGAATTTGGGGAGAGAGGGATAATCTGGGAAACATATGAAATAACGTTGTGTCATAAACAAAGATAAAACTACTACAGAAATACTGGAATACAGAAATATTTGGGGAAAATCATAGGAAGACTGTGAAATACAGACTAATGCATAATATGTAAATAAAATGGAACCCCACAATCCAAACCCTCATTATCATTTCTCAACAGTACAATTTGATTTAAAGAAAGGCCACTGGCCAATCTTCACATCACATACATTAGCAATATTTGCAACAACAAAGTCACCAAAAGTGACAAACCTGATGCAGCAATACATTTTTCACATCTTTTCCGAAGTTCCATACAATACATAAAGTATGACCTGCTAAATGTCTCCATACTAACAGCCAAAACTCAAGTAACAAGCATAAACCTCATACATGGCTGCACCCAGATAAGTCCAGGGCAGAACTTGTTTCTCAGTCCGACCATGTGACTCGTCCTTTCTGCATGTGGACACATGGGGGGATGCAATCATACACAACAAAAGGTTAATGCTAATTTCATATGCTAGAATTAAATCCCCCTTTCAGTACAATGGATGGCGCCACTCGGCCAGGCGTGCCAAAACACTTTTTTATAAACTTCAATTTAATAGAAAATAATCTCAAAAAAACAACAGCACAATGTGCTGTCAACATAAAAATAAATGGGGTGTTGTCACACAAGCATGAGCACTGACAGGGAAAGTCCATTTCTAATTTTATTGTTTGCACTGTAAACTGCTGGAAATGAGAAAATATTTGTATTGATGCATAACGCAGTAACTTTAATAAGGAAAATGGTAGTGGATCAATACGAGGCATTGTACTAAAGTACTGACCAATTATAGATATCAAACATTAAAATGAAAGGAATTAGAATAAAAGGTCTGCCTCTAATACTATGAGGCCTTAAATAAAGGCCTGTTAGCTTCTGCAGTTGAGGTAAATGAAGGCCCTGGTCATAATTTGAAGAAATGCTATAAAACTGATTTGGACAGTTCATGCCAAATCATTTTGGAAGAGCAACAGCTAATAAGAAAAGTCCATCACTCACCACTCACTAACCAATGGTGTAACTGTGAGGTTTTAGTGTAGAGCTGAACCCACAGAAAAGAACACAGAATGGTGGTAAAGCTAATCTTTTATTGTAAATTATGTAGATTGTGGGGGATGGCAGAGGTTGGGCACACAGACATGAATCCCTTAGAGCTGGGGAGGCAGGTGAGGCAAACAGACATGAATCCAAGCAGAGGCCTGAACTACGAAGCAAGTTCAAGTAGAGTAAAAGCATCGCCACTGTCAGAAATCCTGTCTGATTTAAGAATATTTGTTCAATTAAAATTAAGCTATAATAGTTATTATATAGGCTTTTTATTTAGTGTGATAAAATCTCAGTGCATTTTTTTTTTTAAAGCTTTATTTTAAAACCAGAGTGAACACATGGAAAGACCCAAACAGACTAGACTAGGCCGGGTCGAGCGTGGCAGGCGGCAGGGTTGACGGCGTAAGGATGTGCATGTGACGGAACGATCTGGTGAAGAATGGTGAGAATGGCTCCTTTGTACTGCAGCGGGTTGTGGAGTTGATTGCATGATGAGAAGCAGGTGGGTATGGAGACTGGAGGGAGCAGGAACAAGGAAACCAGGCTCAGCTGACACACACACACACACACACACACACACACACACACACACACACACACACACACACACACAGAAATATAGACACAGAGGACAAACTAAGGACAAACAAACACATGAGGGAGGGGAAAACAGCAGAACACAAGAGGGAAAGAAAAAGGACCACGAGGTCGTAATCCTAACAGTAACTTCATCTCTCAGCTCTATTATTCCCTGAGCCATGGACATTATGTGGCCTGTGGCTGATCCTGCAGAAATGGGAGGTAAAAGCAACATAAAACATCCCAACAAAGTTCCTGAACAATAACTGTCTCACACAAAACACCATCACCTGACATTTAATGGTTGTGGTCCTGCAGGGCAGCCTGTGCTTTGAGACAGGGTTACAGTTTTTTGTGTGACAGCTAGCTAAAGTATGCTGTTGCTACCGGTCGCTGCTGAGTAAGCCGATGTCTGTAGATTTTTAATGATATCACGTGTGTGCTGCAAGTAGTCAGTACACTTACCTTGTGTTTTGCCTCTACTGTAGAAAATATATTACATTCATACAGAGAGTGAATGTCTCCCAGTACTTTAAATAAGAAATTAACTATCAAATGTGAATAATTGACTAACGTATTACCTTTTATTAAGTTCATTACAAAGGGTCTTAATTCCAGCTGAGAGCCCACAGATCTTCAAACAAAAGCAGGGAGCAAAATATTACCTTCAGCTATTCATACATTACTGTATGAAAATACATTACGATCCTGTACATTATTCCTCCAGACTTCCCTCTTTTTACTGACACATAATGAATAAACAAGTGACGAGAGACATTTAATTTGACTTTATTTAATGGTTTGTATGTTTGTCATACTGGAAATGTTAATTACAGTTTACTTGCCTGATAAGGACATAAGAAAAAGACACAATTAAAATAAAAATGACAATTTACTAACAGAAGCACAAAGAAAAAACAAGAGGAAATATCAGAAATCATTGATTATGTGTATGATGGTACTTAGAAATGGAAATACTACTACAGAATATACATAGGTGTACTTGTTTATTCAATCAGATCAAAGTTTGGAAACTTTTCCTTCACATTAATGGCCAAATGTTGGCGACTAACTCCTAACTCCTGTTCTCCTCCTCAGTGTCCAGCAGTGCTGTTTACAGCTGGATCTACGACACCCCAGTGTGCTCCGATGGAGGTGATGGCTCCATGGACCCGGCCGCTGATGAAGCGCAGCTCAGCTTCACTGTGGGTGGGGTACATGTTGAAGGAGTGGCCCGAAGGCTGGCCTGCACGCAGCGTGCGACCCCTGTTAGAGGTGAACACCACTGACTGCAGGTAGTGAGCATATTTTCCAGAAACCTGGATGATGGCTTCGTCGTCAAACAGCTCCATCTCCAGAGGATTGCCGGACTGGTAGCCAACAACAGAAGACCAGACGAAGCCGTAGCGGAACTGGAAGCTGAAGAAGGAAAAATAGACAAATGTATCACAATGGAGAAGTAATGTATCCATACTACTTTAATTCATATGGCCCTTGTTAACAAAAAAAAACTGCAGGTAAACTTTACAGCATATCAATATTACATATATGTTTTAAGTCAATCCCTCACACATCCCCCTTCTGACTTCACTGCTCACTAGTCCATGTTAATCCACAACTGACAGTAGTCCTTGACAAATCCACTATTCATTACTGACATTGTTGGTTTTGGCCTCTTAATGAGATTTGTTGACAATAAGAAGAACATAGAATGACACCAATATGTGTATAATGAAAACTGCAAAACCAGATGAAAAATACTGAATATTCACCCATAGATGTAGTTGTTGTTGGCCTCCCACACTCGGACAGCCGTGATACGGCCCTCTCCAGTCAGACTGTAAGAGGTGCCACTCCCTGACCCCACGGCTGGGGAGAAGGAGTAGTACTGAGGTTGGACTGCAAAGACAAAGAGATACAAACATTAACTGACAGAAAATTGTCTTTTATTTTATTTTATTTGATCTTATGTTTAATTTTGTTTGTCTGGTACAAATATGTATAAATCAAATTTAATTACAGTAAATTATTATGTGTAGTGTTTGCTCAGTAAAGTGTTTTCAAACATATCTGATTATCTGCAAAAGATGTGCATTAAACTGAACTGTTAAACAAGCATAAGCTATTTTTTATGAGCATATTACATGTCAACAGACTATTAAACTGTGATTAATGTGATAAATGAAACTTACCATCAGCTAACACACAAGCTGTGAGCAGAGTGAAGAGGACAACGTGGTACATTCTGTCAAACAAATTGATAATGGGGCAGAGTTATTGAACCAGGAATTATTTTTACCCAGCAATTATTGAGTTTATATTGAACACAGGGAGGATCTGGATTTTTACCTGTTTAATTTATTCCTTGCAAGGTGATCAAGAGATACCTGGTGACGATGAAATGAAAAAAATCAGAATGTAATTGTAACATTCACAGTTTGCAGTCTGAGGATCAAAATAAACAAGTACTTACAGATCAAGCTTCTAAATGTGCCGTAATGTTGTCAGGGCTTCAACATCAGTGTGTGCAGCTTCACCTCCTCTCAGCGTTCTGTGTCTTCCTGTGCAGAAACCATTGTTTTTATATCAGTTTGTGAGGCATTCCTGAGCACATGCTTAATTGTCTGCACTGCAAGCAGACACAGATTTACTTCCTGGTTAACATGGATTCAAAGAAATGCATTAATAAACATGGTGCTTCCCTCCTATCTGACTGTAAACTTCAAAGTTTGTTTGAGTGATCGGAAAAAATGTGGCATGATCAGTTGATCGTGACTAGGTGATGGAGGAAATGCAAGCTTGGGGCAACTGAAGTTTTGACGCAATACATTTTTCACATCTTTTCTGAAGTTCCATACAATAATATAAATTATGACCTGCTAAATGTCTCCATACCAACAGCCAAAACTCAAGTAAGAAGCAAAAACCTAGAACTTGTTTCCCTGTCCGCCCATGTGACTCGTCCATTCTGCATGTGGACACATGGGGTATGCAATCATACACAACAAATGGTAATAATAATTTAACATGCCAGAATTAAATCCCCCCTTCAGTACAATGGATAACGCCACTTGGCCAGGTGGCACGCATTATTTATCAACTTCAAGTTAATAGAAAATGATCTGAAAAGCAACAGCACAGACAAGTTTGTCAGACAAGCACGAGCACTGACAATGAAAGTCAATTTCTGATTTTATTGTTTGCATTATAAACTGTTCCATCATCAAAAATGGAAGGTAACAGCAACAAAAAACATCCCTGAACAATAACTGTCTCACACAAAACACTGTCACCTGACATTTAATGGTTGTGGTCCTGCAGGGCAGCCTGTGCTTTGAGAGAGTGTTACATTCTTTGTATGACAGCTAGCTAAATATAATGTTGCTACTGTGTAAACCGAGGCTTATAGACTTTTAGTCAAATTACGTCAGCTTCAAGAGGCTAGGACACCCATCTTGTATTTTGTCTCCACTGAAGAAAATACATTCATATAGAAAGTGAATGTCTCCCAACTACTTTAATAAAATTCACTTTTTAAAGAGTTTTTTAGCTCCAGTTCAGGGACCACAGATCTTCAACAAAAATAGGGAGCAAAATGTCACCTTCAGCTATTTATACATTACTGTATAAAGATACATTACTATCCTGTACATTATTCCTTTATTTAATAGTCTGTATGTTTCATACAATGCACTGGCCTGATGAAGACATAAGATAAAGACACATTATAAATTAAAATGACAATTTTCCAACAGAAGATCAAAGAAAAAACACAAGGCAATATCAGGAATGATTAACTATGTGTATGGTTGTACATTATCATTTCAGAGACTTATGAAAATACTACTACAGAGTATACACTGTTGTACCTTTGATTAAATTATTATTTTTATGTTTAGAAATTTTGAAAGCTTTGTTATCTCATTAATGGCCAAATGTTGGCAACAAACTCCTATTTGTTCTCCTCCTCAGTGTCCAGCAGTGCCGTTTACAGCTGGAGCTACAATGGCCCAGTGTGCTCCGATGGAGGTGATGGCTCCATGGACCCGGCCGCTGATGAAGCGCAGCTCGGCTTCACTGTGGGTGGGGTACATGTTGAAGGAGTGGCCTGAGGGCTGGCCTGCACACAGCGTGCGACCCCTGTTAGAGGTGAACACCACTGACTGCAGGTAGTGAGCATATTTTCCAGAAATCTGGATGATGGCCTCGCCTTCAAACAGCTCCATCTCTTGGGGCTGGCCGTATTGGTAGCCAACAATGGGAGACCACAAGAAGCCGTAGCGGAATTGAAAGCTGATGAATGAAGGGGAAAATAGACAAATTCAGTGTAAGAGGGCATTTCCAATAATTGCTGCTTATAATGTTGCATTAAGAAAACAACAGTAGATGCATTTACAGATCATCATCGAGTGAAGCAAGTCACTCTATTAAATATAAGTATTTGATATTCACCCTCTTATGTAGTTAGAGTACGACTCCCACACTCTCACAGCTGTGATCCCTCCCTCTCCAGTGATAGTGTACGGGTTGCCGCGTCCTGAGCCCACTGGTGTGGAGAAGGAATAGTACTGAGGCTGGGCTGGAAGAGGAAGAGATACAAATATATCATGAATCAGTTAACACGAGTAAAACTTTTAAACAGCAGTGTCATAAAAAAAAAAGCAGAGGCAAGGATATACTTTATTTTTAAATGAAATCTTCTTAGCATACTTGCAAGATACACACATTGATTGTATGAGCATGCCTAAAAGGAACAATGTTTAAGGTTGCACACACACCTCTGCTATCTTACTCTATATTTATGCCCCAATAAACTTTATAAACAAAAGAATAACACATTGTAAAGTACTATGGATTTTGATCGACCCATTCCTAATATTCATAATGGTTCTATATGTTCATCCTCAGAATTACAATTAACTGATAAATATTACAAATACTGCACAGGACAAGTTGCCTTAGAATGGTACTATTTCCAAACTATGTTTACTGATGCAGTATCTCTGTTGCTTGTTGAATTTTAACACCCATATGACTAATAAGAAATAAACATGAATAAATGGACACTTACCATCAGCTAAAGCAGAGGCTACAAGAAGAGCAAAGATGGCAACAAAGAACATTCTGTGAAAAAAAGATAAGATTATTTAACTCTGCATCTCATTTGCGAGCGATTATTGTCTACTGTTGGAAGAATGAAAACACTGACTTCTCACCTGTCTGATTTGTAGTTTCCTCTGTGATAAAAATATACCTTAAGCAAACCAGACAGAAAATGTAAGCATGTTAATAATCAGGGTTTTGTTTGCTCTAAATTCAGCATTTCAGAATAACAGTTTCTAACTTTGTCTAGTTTTGGTTGCCTATATCATTATCTTGGAAAAGAGATTACTTAGGTTCAACAACTGGTAAAATCAATGGAAAAAGTAATACTCACAGTTCAAGTGTGCATTAGAGTTAAGCGAAGCTGAAGCATCAATGTGTAGCAAAACACTCTGGTAGTACTGTACTTATAGTACGAGTAACCGGAAAAAAAAAAACACTTTAACGGTCCTTCCTATAAGCGGATACAGTAACTGCCGGTTAATCAGACAAAAAGATGTGGGTGTGTTTTTGCTTTTTTATTATTGATAGCATGGCAGGAATTTTTTTCTGTGTCAACATGTCAACAGTCTTCTGATGCTAGCAGTGATGTTTACAGCTGGATATACAACACCCCAGTGAACAATCAGCAGTATGTTTATGTCATCCTACTTTCAAATTTTACTGTACTGTGTGTAAGCTTTGTGACTGTAATTATGATAAACCTGTGTAGATAACTAACATGTGAAACTGACAAATAGCATGTTCCTTCACAAATAAGAAACTGAATACCCCAAGTTTTGCTTTAGCTAGCACCAAGCTACTTTAGCTTTGATGGGACTTGTCTTAACTTCTCTCCTTAAGAAAACTGGAAACATGCAGACTATTCAGTTTGGTATGGATGTTCAGTCAATGGGAGGGTCATACTGAAATGTTCCACTGATCAGATTCAATTCCTGCAAAACATCTGTCTACAAGGAAACAAATGCATCATCACTTGTCGTAGACTGATTCATGTGCTCAGCATTCTTGCAGGAAGTGACAGCCTTTTTACGTTTCATGTCATGACCTTTATGTATAACATTACGTGTGACTGGCGTTACCACCTCATGAGAAATTTAATCTGCACATACCTCATCTCTATTTACTTCACGGATCAATGTTTCTGTAAAGAAACGTCCTGGAAACCAGTTCTTGAGGCTGGAATTCATCAAAACTCTCTAAACATCTATCTGTGATAATAAAATAAAATATACAGTAACTACACTATCATGTGCTACGATTTTCCATGACCATTGATAATTCAAGTCTAACTCGAAAATGTAACTGCAGCTGAAGAGTACCACTCCATCTGATGTACGGGTTGTGGGGTTGTGTTGTTGTTGAGAATTATTAAATTCAGATTCCTCCATCAATCACTCACACACACACACACACACACACACACACACACACACACACACACACACACACACACACACACACACACTGTGTAGGTGGACATGTAACATACAATGTTTTTCAACAACAGTGTCCAAAAATAGCATCGTCCCCTCTAGGCTCTTTGCTAATGCTAGCAAGCCGACTTTTGAAAAAAGTGGCGGTAGATGTATATCTCTTTTTCTGAATTTCAGTCTCTCTGATATCATTTTCTTTTTTTCATCTCTCTCTTTGCTGCTCCACTGCTCCAACCTTTGTTTTCCATGATGTTTTAAGAAGCACAGTTTCTCACCCAGCTGGTCAGCTAAATTCTTATTTGCAAATAACGTAACTCTGTATTCATTTGTTTGTATTTCAACAAAAACACTCAGAATTGATCAAATCTGATTGAAAGAAAAAAATGATGAGACTTAGCTTCTTGGGGGTTTGGAGGCCTTCTAAAGGTCAGAGGCCCCTGGGCACCGGCCCAATATCGGCCTGGTGGATAATCCATGCTTGGCCCGCTTATCCAGGAACACATAAAAAGCTTTTTTAAATTGATGAGTTTTCTTTTTTTTTTTTTATAAAGAAAATTAAGTCCATTTACTGGCCCTGTGTGTTTCTTTACGGGCCCTCTCTGTATGCCTGTCATTCATGGTGCACATATGAGCATGGTATAAAATAATTAAGGGAACACTTAATCATCACAGTATAACACCAAGTTATAACAACCTGTTCTCTTCACAGATGAGAGCAGGTTCACACTGAGCACATGTGACAGGCATGAAGGAGTCTGGAGACGCCGTGGTGAACGTTATCCTGCCTGTAACATCATCCAGCATGACCAGTTTAGCGGTGGGTCAGTGATTGTCTGGGGAGGCATATCCTTGGAGGGTCCAATGATATCCATGTCATAGCCAACGGTGCCCTGACTGCTGTTAGGTACCAGGACGAAATCCTCAGAGCGATTCTCAAGCCAGACTGTGTAGGCAGTTCCTGGATGATGAAGGCATTGATGCCATAGACTGTCCAGGAGCTCACTGATCCTCTGATCCAGGTCTGGGAGGAGATCCCCCAGGACGCCATCCGCCGATTCATCAAGAGCATGCCCAGACACTTTCGGGAGTGCATACAGGCACGCAGGGGCCATACTGGGGCAAGTTGGATCAGCCTTTGATTTAAATTTTCTACTTTGATTTTCAGTGTGATTGTGAATCCAGCCCTCAATGGGTTGATGATTTTGGTTTCCATTGACTGTTGTTGCGTCATTTTGTTCAATTGTACAATGTATATCAGTAAAGATTTTCAACTCAAAGATCCGATGTGTGATTTAAGTGTTCCCTTAATTTGTTTGAGCAATGTATATATATATATATATATTCCTGTTCTGTAACTACTGGATGCGTAAATAAGCAACTGTTTGCTATATGTGAATGTTGTGATCACAGCTAGTTATCACTATAGCTTATGATTAGACTCTTTAATGCAAGTTAATTAATGCTAGTGAATACCTAAAAAGTACAGTATGCCTGAATATGACATGCTTTTTACTGAAATTGTTTCAAAATAGAAAACAAATATCATCTTCAATTTGTCTCCAGTTTAATACTAACAGTAACTCCCAACATTAGGGGTGTTCTGTATGTCCATTTACAAACCCCGATACATTCCTCAAAAATTCAATAACTGAAAGTGAAAAGGCAAGTTTTTCCTTATCCAAAGACAGTCACAATCATCCTTTACATTAATTATAAGAACCTCAGTATAACAGGCCATGAGATGTAAAAGTGCTGTGGTCTGCTCTGTTCCCCTGCATTGTGCCTGGTACAGTGTAATGAATGCTGAGCTGCAGGAATTCAGGCAATGAAACCCAATGTGTGTTTGAATTACTGTGCTACAGTATACTGCAAAGCTGCTTGTTATGTGTTATATTAACACATCCTTAAATATCTCATTAACATAAGCCATAAAGAAAGTGCAAAAGAGGCATGTATGAATGGAAGCATAAGAAGCCAAAAGCTAGGATGTTATCTCTCTGGAGCTTCCAGAGCTTGTGAATTAGAACTTCAAAGTCTTTGGAGATTTCCCAAAATATGTGCATGACAGCTACAACTCACACATCCACAACACTGACAGGAAGAGTTTTCAAGTATCTACAAAAATAGCAGTAAAAAATTCTTTGCATAATCCACATCAACTTATCCACTAAACTTTGTAGTCTCTGTATCCCCATGTTATTGTTCTGCAAGTGTCCGCTGAACAGACCCAGGCCAAATTGTATTTTTAATCCTCCTCTTAGCTGTCTGATAATGCCTGAGGTTATTTCACAAGTTCCACAGTGCCAGCCAATTAAGCGTTAAGAGGATTTCCAGTACAACATTGACCCAGGCGTTAATATCACACCAGCAGAGTAATGATCACTCCATCATCCTGGCCCTGCCACAGCATCTCCCCTTCGAACGCAACCTTCCCATGTTTCCTGGCTCTCATCAGAATCCCCACCACCTTATCAGAGATCCGGACGTATCTGTCAAACAGCTGTCCGAATGTGATGCGGGTCTTTCCGTCTGGGTCCGGATCAGCCATAGTCCTGATCACGTAACACATGTCGGCGATCTCACGGTGGATGTGTTGCTCGGCACGTTTGGCTCTCTCCGCTGTTTTAGTACCCTCCTTGGGGCGTCCGTAACCTTCCTGACCCTTCTGGAGGCGGAGAGACATGGAGTAATCATAGTCAAAGTATTCACTGAAGGGGTTTAGTCTCTGGTTGACGGTGTGCTCTGAGGCCCAGTTCTGCCAGCGACTTTTGAGATTTCCCACGGCACTGTATTTCTTGGAGAGAGCATTGATCTTGTTGGCATCTTCAGCTTCCTTTTTGTACCTGGAAGGGATGTTGGATTACATTACAAATAAATATAAATGTACAATACACTCAATCTCTTGAGCCTACAAGGAGTAAGGGAAGTTGCAACAGTTGCAATATGCAACAGTAAGAGAGTTTTGCACCAAAAATGGAGAGGAACCAGCTGGTACCGGTTGTGAATGTAATGTCAGAAAGACATTGGACTCTAACGACTCATTAGATGATTGGAAGATATTGGATTTTGGTTACTTAACAATACAACTTAAAACCAAGAAAATATCAATGTCAGTGTCATCAGTGTTCTGTGTCAAGTTGATGTTATTATTAGATGTTGTCCTGACATCGAACTTTGTGCCTGTTTGTGGCTGTGTAACATATTGCAAAGGGCTCTGTGCTCAGCACTTTGGCGATCACATTAATGCCATTTAGTGTTTCAGTGTGGGACTTAGTGACAGCTGATAGACGTGCTGAAAATGCATCATGTCATTATGCATTATGTTTCAAAGAAAATAAAATCAGATGTGCAGAGTTTATTGTTATGATCTTTTGTGGCTGATAAATAGTACTTTACTCTCTAGTATTAGTACTTTCCAGGTGTTGAGGAGAAGGCAAACAGCAGGAATTTCATACTTGTTAACATTAACATGAGTAAGGGAGGTACTTTTTTAGTGTACTTTAGCAGTAAGCAGTAAGTTGAGATTTTGGACACAGTGTCATCACTGGCAGTTGTAGAGACACACAACTGTAATTTTGGAGCTATAAATGGCAACTTATTGCCTTGTGTGACTTCTAGCAGAAAGTATGGACACTACTATTTCGTTGCAGAATTTTTTGAGGGCACTATATAGGGGGATAGAGTGCACTACACAATAGTAAATAGGTGGTGTTTTCAGACACAGCCTTTGTGAGGACTGTGATAGCATTCTCACAGCTATAGCTGCTGTGTCTCACTGGGGTCGTGTAAAGGTGGCAGACATCCATCATAATGTGGCAAAGTGGAGTGCCACACTGATCTCTAAACAGTAATTTTACTTGTTTCCAACAAGTGGCTTCATTTCCAAGAGCTGAACATGTTCATTTAAAAGCTATCATGAAACTGTATAATGAGATTTCATCTGACCTTTAAGAATTTACCAGATGGAAGAAAATGTTATACCATTTTGTTCAGAAAAAAACTTCTCTGTTTACTGTTATACAAAATAAAGCTCACTGATACTCACGTTGGGACTGCAGGTCTTTTAATCTTCACTGCTGATTCAGAGTCTCCTTCACAGTCTTTTTGCTCTGTTTCTTCTAAAAAGTTTTCAGTTTGTGTTTCAGTGTCCAGTATGTCCAGTCTCTCCTTCTCTGTCTCAGGATGTCCACTCTCCTCCTTATCTATACTACTGGTGTCTGCCTCTCCTGGTCCTCCTCCTTCTTCCCCGAGCTTCTGCTCATTCTCCACCTGCTTCCAGCTTTTGGTCAGTGATGAAACCATGTTGGAGCACTTCCTGCGGCGCGTGGGTGAACTTTTCTTCTTCAGCAGCCTGTCAATCTCCTCTCCTGATGGCAGAGCCTCACCCTTGATCTTCTCGGTCAGGAGCTCGATGCCTGCACTTTTCTCCTGAACCCCGCTGGTCACCGTCTTCACCACCTGCTTCGTCTTGATACGAGACTCCACTGGTGGCTCAGCCGAGGTCATAACCTCCTGCACCTTCCTGTGAGGAGTTGATGTCTTTTGAGCTTCTCCAGAAGTAGTTGCATTATTTTGAGGAATTTCTGTAGGCTGGGTTTTAGAGGTAGGAGGTTTCTTGGGGACCCATGTCTTCTTGGGTTCCTCTGTTAGTCTTCCCAGTGAAGATGGAGCCCAGCCAGCGGGTTCGCTGGCCTGCTTTGTCTCGTTCGCCGTCACCCACTGCTGCCAGCTGCTCGTCAGGCCGCACACCATGCTAATTGTGCGGAGCTTCTTGATGTTCTTGTTGGTGGATGGTTTCCTCTGGGATGCCTGGCTGCTCTGTTTGTCAGACATAATCAATGTGTCAATTTAGGCACAACTAAGTGAGCTGTCAGATTTGCTACAATAAACTCATCTCCTCTCCGCTTGGATTTCTTTTTTATTGTGACTTTTTTCTCTCTCGGCTGCTGTCTACCCTCACGCTTGCAGCTACAGCTCTAAAATAGGGAGGGCAAACCCTAACATGACGGTGGAAAGTATTCGAGTCATCCCAGGCTACAGACCTGATCGTGTTTCCCTGACACTGGTCACCACTACGCACTCGTGTTTCACCACAGATTGTGGAGCTTGTAACTAGAGGTAATCTGTGAGTGCTAAGTTTAATTAGTAAGTGCACAGATACATGCAAAGATCATCAAAGACATACCACTTGATATTTGCTCTGAAAGTCCCTTATTAACTTTCTTGCTTACACAAATTTTATACTGAATCTTTTTAAACATTATATTATGATATATTATTAAAGTAAAATCCATATATACTATATGTAAAGAAAATTAAATAAGTTCTAATCAAGGGTGATAATGACTCATAAAAGACTCCCACAAACTTTGATGACCTTGTGCACTGGGAGATAATGAAGTAATCTTGTGCAGTTTTCTCTGCTGCTGAACGTGGTTTCTTCCAGGGAGCGGGTGGTGATGATGGTTGCTTACAAAAAACTTCAACCATCACTGTGTTTACAATACAAGAGGTTAGAATAGGCCCTCTGAGCAGTACTACTTCTTTTAGGGCAGGAAAATGAAACACTCAGAACTTCATATTCGACTTCAGTCCAGTACTTGGGTAAATACACTTAGTTACTTTCCACCAAGTTACATAATCTTAACAATACACTGTGAAAATAGAAATGAAAATGTTACTTAAGCATGAAATAATATATTGTATTATAAGTCATGCATTTTTGTATAATTAGCTTTTGGAATTGTACCTATTTAATATCCTTTTAACGGCGCTTCATGTTTTATATGCTTGTCATGTGCTTTGAATGTATCTTAATGTAAATATAGCTGTCAGATAGTGGAGAAAAAAGTACAATAAAATACAAAATGACATGAAATGGAAATAATCAAGTGAAGTAAAAACGCTTTATAGCTGCACTTCCTTACGGTACTTGAGTCAATAATACATTCCACCACTGGTCATTCCTGTTGTCAGGTTTGACAGCTACAATAGCAACGCTCTCATGGGGAGAAGTGAGGAGGTTAATGAGATGACATACTTTTGCCCTTAGTGTTTCAGGGAAGGAAGAGAGAGATGCTCAAAAGTTGAAATAAAACAGAGACATCCTTCCTCTGTCACCTGGAGCACCATATAGATTTAAAATCCCACAATTAAATCTATATAGGGTTTAAATACTAAAATCATTTCACACATATTGTTTAGAAAAATCCTCCATACAAGTTTAAAGATCAAATTGCAAAGGAATCAAACTGAAGAAAAATCCAGAAACAGAATCAAAATGAGACTCTAAATTTTATTATATATGGATTCATGGCTGAAATTATATTTTGTAAATGCAGTGACTGGGCCCCTACACAAAAGCTTTTGAAGCTTATTGGGGTTGTCCCATTTTCACCCATGGCTACTATTATGTTTGTATACTTGTATTTTATTCTTTATTTCTGATTTGTGAGTGAAATAAAAGGAATGATGATTCAAATAATCTCAAAAACACACAAAAAAGACCACCAGTTTGTTTTTCTTTGTGTGTGTTTTATAAAGCTTGAAGGAGCTGCAGCCAAGACAGAAACAGAGGGTATCACAGATACAAGGCGACACTTAATCCGAGGTGAGAAAAAAGAAACACAACTTCTAACCAAGGAAGAATGTGATACTTGGAGGAGATGTATATCTCTTGCTTACGCATGAAGCGGTTTAGTCTTGCAATGCAGCTGGCCGTGAGATCACAGTTCCCTCACTCACTGAAGAGAGCAGAGAGCTGTGTGCTGTCATTTAGCACCATCAACATCAACATTATGCTTTGCAGGATTCAGCTTGGACAGAGGTGTTTAGTGCTGTTTTTTAAGAGCTGCGTTTTATGTGAACATACAGAATGTTATTTTATGTGTGTTGATTTTCAATATCCATATGTGCAGGTGGGTGGTTGTATATAAATAGAACTTGGCACTCACACATGCACACAGACATGAAGTTGCAGCTGTTGGCAGTCCATCATGGAGAGTGGAAGTGACTCATCGAGCATCAGCACAGGACGTCTTCTCAAGCCAAGTCAGACCGATCATAAGGTAGAGATTCAAACAGGAAGGTTAGTGCTCCTCCACAAGGACAAACAGGCTCATTACAGTTTCAGGCTTGGTGATGAAAATATAATACATGGGGTGGAGACTGTGGTGTAGTGTCTTGTCTGTCAACAGCCAGTGACTTCAAAAAAAAAAACCTCCTGCCAGCTTCCTTTTGTTGATTTTGGTTGCAAGGAAAACCCTGTACACATAAGATGCTGCTGCTGACATGCTATTACAATGTCTTGCTATAAAAAGGAAAAAGTCCATGTAACTATGTCAGAGGGTTTCCTTGATTTAAATCACACAGGCTTCAAGAAAGCATCAACTGAGTTACTGTTAGTGCAAAGTTTTCCCCATTTTTTCACCCTTAACTACTTTAAAGCTGAATGTGAAACTTCAGTTATAGTGTTTAGGTTTTAGTCTTTAGGCTGAAGCAGTGGTTCCCAACCTGTGGGCCAGAGCCCACTGGTGAGCTGCGAAGGGATTGCAAGTGGGCCAACCAATCATTTGCAACACAATACAATTTTTGGTGAAAAGATGTAGTTATAAAAAATGAAAATATAAATAATGTTTTTAAATGTTTTTAAAGGACATGATCTTTAAAATGTTAAAAAAAAACAAAAACAAATTTAAGCCAATGATGAATGATGAATTTTTATATTGTCATCGGGCTTGTTTGCTATCTCAGTCTGTTTGCACTCTAAAAGATCACATCCATGGCAAAAACTGTGAGTATCAAAATGCATAGCTGGTTAGCAAACGGGAATTAAAAAAAATAATTAAAGGAAAGCGATTCAAGAGACAGGTGGTGAATCAACAAGTGCCGCATCAATCAATAAAGAAAAATTGGGCTTCCCTTGCTGTCATTCAGTCCTCAATGTTCCATCGTTACTATTAAAAAAAAAAAGAAGTGATCAGAGAACATATTATTTTGCTTCTGTATTGTTACAGGGTCGGACGTGGGCTGCCAACATTTTTGAGATTTGTGGTCAAGTGGAAAAAGTTGGGAACCACTGGGTTATAGGTCTTAACGGAGATGATGAGATGATAGCAAAACAGTTAAATATAGCATAACCTTGTAAATAGAGACAGTAAATCAGACTCAGTAATGTGATTTACACAACAATATCTTTTTAAAATTGCAAACATTTTGGCCACTAAAAGCCTCTGGTCATATCAAGACCAAATAAGACTGAAGCTGCAAAACCCTTGAGTGTAATGAGTGGCGCCAGGGTGAGTTTTACTGCTCATGAATTCAACTTTTTATTTGTAAGAGGAAGATTGTGTTATTTGTGCTTTCAAAAGTTCCACAGTCTCACTTTAAAATCACCTCATTACACACTGTATGGTCTGTGACAGTTTGTTCCTGCTCATCATTGACATTACATAACATTTACACTGTCTCAAACTGGCCAAAGGGAAATCACACATGAAGAATGTTGAAACAAATCAAACAAACACACCAAAAACAAACCAGACCGGCTGATGGAGGCCTCGGAGGAAGACAGCATGTTGGACGTGTTACAGATGAAGCCACTTTAATGAGGCTCAGGCCCAGTTTACTCAGGTGTTGGCCATTTCCTGATATCCTCCCCAACTCTGTCCATTGGCCTCTGAGCCAGGAAGCCAAACCAACCACACAGGAATCAGCCAAAGAGGGCGGGACGTCACAGCACTGAGTACTTTATTCAAGACTTAGCTTATAGCACAAAGGCCCAATGCCAATGTGCCTCTGAAGACCTGAGCACTGAACCCTCAAGACTTAACTAACATCACCATGTAAGTGATTGAGCATGAGAGGCTGCAAGGGCTCTAAATGGTTTGAATAGTAATGCCGTACATGTTTTGTGCTATTGTGGGTTTGGGACTTTTGATTTTACATTTTTTCTTTCCTCCCCTCACTCCCTGTTTGTAAATATTATTGGATAAAATCTGATGGCATATTTGGAATTCATCATCGTGCCATCGTAGGACAAACAGCTACACACAGTCGTGGCTATGAATCACGGGTGAGCTGTATGTTTACTTACATGTAAACTTTCTCTTGTAATGTTAACGTTAGGGTTTGTTCCTTCCAATTCTTGTTTTGTTAACCGTTCCTCTTTCCTTTTTTTTTTTTTTAACGCTTCTGGGCTTCCCCTGGTAACTTTCAATACTTCCTCTCTGTCAGTCATATTTTTGATTTCAAGAAAAATAGTCACAAGTCGCATTAGGGGCACACAGTCTATCTGTCACATCCATGACAAGCTTTTCTGGTTCAGTGCCTGGAGGATTTTCTAAATTTGCCTTTTTCAAGCATAGCTGGGTATTACCTCCGAGGCTGCTCGTATTTTTATGTGACAGCAGATCTGCTGGGACCTGGGACAGTTTTGATGGCAGTTGAAGCTGCTGGAACAGGAGGATCATCCATCCTTCTTTTACACAATAAAAAATCACAGCTGGAGTTTCATTAACTAAAAATAATGAGTTTGATTTTTTTGGTCATTCTATATAAATTGTTAAATAGCTGTACAGCATTACAGACTGATTCAATAAAAGGCATTTATATTTTAAATTGATCCTGGAAATTTTACAGTAAATGTAAGATTGGCAGTCTACCAGTAGAGGTCGCTATGATTTCAGTGTTGAGGCAGTATGGCGCTCTACAATTTAAAGCAAATATGGACCCTGAGGCTCTTAACGTTTAATAATTTGATTCAGGGACGTATTTGAGCACAGCAAATTGCACAGTACTCAGTTTATTGTGCTGATATGATAGGAATTAATTAT